ATCAGAAATTGCAGCTCCTTGTGATTTTAAATCTATTTAAAAAAATCATTATTTCAATCTAGCTTTTAATCAATAATAATTATATATTTTTTTTGCATGCTGCTTTTAATTTTTATTACATTAATTCAACAACAATTACAATTTTAATTTAATTTTTGTTTTTATTATCTTTTTCTTATCATTGGGCTCATATCGCCATGGTTGATTGTGAATTTCTTGGTTCTGGAGGCGCCTCAGTTGCTTGCACTGGCGCTATTATTATTATCATATCATTTTGCTATAAACAATGTTAGTGGCATTGCGTACAATTAGTTTGTGTCTTATTTGAATGAAAGATAAGCATGTTCAAATTAATAATTTTGAATCTCTTTCCTCTCATATATCTTCAGGTATACCTCATGGGCAGTCATTTTCATTTTTAAAAAGCAGTGCACCTTTTAGTATTTACATTGCAGTTTCTTACCAAACTTCAATGAAAAATCAACAAGAGGTTTTGGAAAATCATCCAACATTCCAACTTCTCAACACAACAACAACACACGTTTAGACGACATTTTCCTTGAGATCGTTTGGCTACCTGTGATGACAACTTCTCAACACATCAATGTTTAATTACTTATGACAACTTCTCAACACATCAATGTTTAATTACTTAAGACTGTGATGTTGTAATGTTGTTGTTGTTGTTGCCCCTTCCGGGGGACCCTCAAGATTCCAATCGAGGACGGAACCTATCCGCCACTGCAACAGGGTTGCTCCAGAGGTCTATTGGTTGAAGATCCATGGAGTTTTGAGGACAGCTAAACATATGTTGAACATCATCTGTATGATTGTTGCAGAAAGGATGTGCCCACTGTCGTTTCTATTTTTGTAGCTGTTTAGAAGAATATTGTGGCCAGATCGGAGTTGGTCGAGGAATGTTGGAGCTCTGGAGCAACTGCCTTCTTGCTGTGGAACCGATTGGACAGCCAAATCAGTCAATCCAACAAACAGTTGCAACAAACCCTCTCTACATGGATGTTGTTGTAATGCTTCATACCTCTAATTGTTCTGATTTTCCATTGCTTTATTATGCTTCAAGTCTCTTCATTTCACTAATGTACTAATGTTTTTTTTTATCGATTATCACAGTACTGCCTGAATTGAAATAACCTCAAAAAGATATTAAATTTTAGTATCAATCATTATTATATGCTAATGACTTATATTTACGTTTTCCTCCATTTAATCTTAAAACCGTGTGGAGTCTGGTCGACGGCATCAGAGATTCTGGAAAATCATCCAATGTTTTAACTTTTTGGCACATCAATGCTAATTTTCTTTGTTTTCTAACTTTTATTACTCCTTCATTTTGTATGAGTTCACTGTGGATTTCAAGACATCTGGTTTTTTTTTATTTAAAAATCAGGATCATCCATTTGTATGTATCCATTTCATTTAAATTTAGAGCTTTCATGTCTTGCTCGATTGTTTGCGAAAAGGACTTTTTTGGACGGACTTTGGGACATGTGCCAGGTACTTCAACATCTGCAAGAGAAGTTATGGCACTGTTTCCACTTCGTTTGACATGACCAAACCACCTCAGACGGTGTTGTCGGCATTCGTCCTTTATATCATCTAAACCAGCACGACGCAGGATTTCGGTAGATTTGATGTGGTCCTTCAGACTAATTCGTTGCATTCATCGGAGCATTTTCATGTCGGTTCGTTGAAGTTGTTGTTCCAGTTTGGTTGTCATTGGCCATGTTTCTGCACCTTATAACAACACCAAACGTATCACAGATTTATAAAGTCTTGATCGTAGTGGTAGTGGAATGTCACGCTGCATCAATATAAAGGCAAGGAGATGCCATTTATTCCAGGCTGCACGTATGCGTGCTCGAACGGCAGCTTCAGCTGTTCCAGTACAATCCAGAACATCCCCTAGATATTGAAACGATGTGACTTTTTCTATTTTAATGGCTTCAAAAACAGTGCTATTTCGAATTTGTTGTTGTGGATTGATGCAAGCAGGACAAACATAATTGGACACTTTAGATAAAGTACCAATTATTTATGAACAACGTTTGTGACACCACTGGTTACACTACTGAAACTTGATTAAATTATTACCTACACCAGCTTTACAAACTGAACAGGACCATCGTCCAGTAGCTGTGGATTGGATGGGTTCACCAGTGTTCATTGCTTTGGTTTTGCTTATTTTGACTTTGAATCCATGATCGGCGAGTCTAGGGTTCCAATCTTCAAACACCTGTGCTGCATTTTGCTCAGACGTGGCTGTTAAAACGATATTATCAGCATATATTAGATTCCAAATGTCACCAGTACGTATCGGTTTTGTGATTTCTTCCATCAGTTATAAATAACAGTGGACTGAGAATCGAGCTTTGGTGAACTCCAACGCCGATGTCAAATTTATTTGTGTTTCCAACCGTTGTGCTGACAAGAGTCTTAGTATTCGTATTCATTTCCATCACAAGTCGAACAAGATATTCTGGAATGAGTTGTCGACGTAGACTCCACCTGATTGCTTCACGGGGAACTCCATCAAATGCTTTTTCAGGGTCTACAAAAATGTGTGATAGTTGTTGATGCTTTGCGGGGTACTCCTCTTGCAGTTGCCGAAGGATGTGAATTGCATCAATTGTTGATTTCCCTTCTAGGAAACCAAATTGATAATTTCCGATTGTGATGCACGACGTTAATCTTTTCTCAATGATTTTCTCGACAATTTTCAGGGAGTGTTCTAACAGACGTATACCCCGATATGATGAACAGTTCAATGGATCACCTTTGCCTTTGTATAGCGGAACTGTCATGCTATAGTTCCGTTCAGTCGGCATTGAGCAATTTCTCCAGATTTCACGGCAAAGTTGTAGTAACGTTTCGATACCTGCAGTACCAGATGTTTTGATAATGTCATTTGTGAGTCCAGAGGGCCCTGCTGCCTTTCCATCCTTCATAGCTTTCAGAGCTTCTTTAAGCTCCTCTACAGTGATGTCTGAAATCGGACCTTCGATGGGTGGAGCGTCAAAGTTGACATTGATGGAATTTGTTTCATTTAACAGACGGTTGAAGTATTCTCCACTGTATCTCATCTTGTTCAAGAACCATCTAATTTTTGTCATTTTGATACATGAGTTACCAACTATGTCTTTTTTCGTACGCTTTGCTTGTTTTGCTATACGATACAGAGATTACATTTGTTCACCTTTGCTTTTAGTGAGCCATTCTCTGCACTGATCTGTCCGAGCCAGTGCGACTTAACGTCTTGCATAGCTGTTCTTTTCACGAAAAATTTTATGGTCATCAACAGACTTTGATTTTTGCCATTGCTTGTACGCAGCTTTCTTTTCAGCTATTGCATTTTGTACACTGTCATTCCACCACCAAGTGTCCCGTTCATGCTGACGTTTTGTACCAGTTTTTCCACAAACTGTAGTTGCAGCGTTTATCAAAACGGTTTTGTATGTACTCCAATCTGTACGGGATTGCGATTGGTGGTCTAACTGTGTGACGACAATCTGTTGAAATTTTTTTCGATGAGTATTGCTTTTCAGCTTCCATGTTTTGATTAGCATTTGTTTAGGCTTATGTTTTGATAGTTTGACAACCAGGTCTGCCGCAAGGAGTCTATGTTGAGCGACACATGATTTGCCAGGTATAACTTTGACATTTTTGAATAGCTTTCGGTGCTGTTGCTTGACAGCGAAGAAATCAATTTGCGTGGCTGATATAGTAGTAGTAGTAGTAGTAGTAGTAGTAGTAGTAGTAGTAGTAGTAGTAGTAGTAGTAGTAGTAGTAGTAGTAGTAATAGTAGTAGTAGTAATGCTGTTCTGGAAATTTATCCAGAGAGCATGCTGTCAGGCATGCTAGCACAGCCGATTCATTGATTGATTGTTGTTCATCCAACAATCAATACCTGCTTTAAAACTATTTAATGTTTGCGTATCGACGAGTTCATTTAGCAATGAATTCCAGATATTTGCTGTTCTATTGAATAGCTAATTTTCTCTGCTTCTATTTCTTGTTAATTTTTTGTAATATTTCATTCTGTGACCTCGCGTTCTAGTTACAACGTTATTAAATTGATTTATTAAATTAATTCTGTCCATTTTGTGCTTGCTTTTGAATATCTGAATTAAATCTCCTCTTCTTCTTCTTTCTACCAATGTTGTTAGATCCAATTCTCTGAGACGATCGATGTAAGCAAACTTTCTATAGAAGCTTTCTATGGAAACCATGTCAAAGAAACTGGGTGATAATTTGTTGGTACCGTTTTTTCGCCTTTTTTGTAGATCGGTGTAACGTTTGCTGATCTGAATTGAAGTGGAAGCTGGCTGGTAGCCAATGAAGCTTGGAATATCATAGCAATAGGTTCAGCAAAGGCTTCTGCACAATTTTTTAACAAGGCTGGTTGGAATTTGTCAACACCACAAGATTCGTTTGGATCAAGCTTTTTGATTTTATCCAAAACCATGTCATAACTGAAATCATCTGGCATCATATCTATAAACTGTTCACACTTACTTTTATTAATTTCAAAAATTGGAATGTCAGAATCATCTTCAACAACAAAAACTTCCTGGAACGCTGCATTCATAAGATTCACAATTTCATCTGGATCGTGACTTATTTCGCCACTAGGTTTTCTCAAAGACTTTACTGACCGTTTGTTGATTGTTCAAATATTTGAAGAGAATTTTAGAATTATTCTTAGCTCGTTCTACTTGTGTTACCTCATAACGAAGGCGTGCTTTGTAGATTTCAGTCTTAACAAATTTACAAAAATCCTTATATTCGTTACGTAAGTTAGTATCATTTCATCTACGTATGTTATTTTTGTCTTTTAGACACTTTGTTTTCTGATAAGTGATTTCAAATGTGAATTTATCCATGGAACTGTTTTATTACTGCTTATTGTTGCATTCAAATACTTGCAGTGTAGCGTTTTGTGTCTGTTTGAAAAAAGTGCTCTATCACGTGTTAAATTTAAGTTAACGTCGTTTGATAACGTCCGCACCAAGTTCTGCATTCAAACTGTTTCGATGTTGCCTTAATTTATAGTCCAGTTGTCTCTCAGCTTCTGTCAAATCTGGAGCTATATAGACAGATTTGAATCCTTCAACGTCACTGAGTTTTTTGGCAGCAAGGAGAACGGGATTTCTCAGACTTGCATCTGTCAAATCAACCAGTAATGGACCTGGTTTAGTTGTATCCTTTGATCTTAATCTTCTTGAGTATGCCACCTTAATATCGGCTTTATCTATCACCTACATTATTTCTTTGATTTTCGCTTCATCTTCAGTTCTTTTATCTGTTGGATTTGGAGCAGAAGACTCTGGTACCCCGTAGATAATGATGTTTTTCTTTCTCTTCTCCCTCTCTTGTAATTCACTAATAGTGGTGTTAGCCACCATTAGCTGTTCTACTGGCTTTTTAGCATTTTTTGTACCCCTGGTGACTACATCAACCCATGATTGGGTACTAACATTGGACTTAGCTGCTTCTTTCTTCGCTGACTCAAGATCATGCTTCAATGTTACAATTTCGAGTAAATTTTGTTTGTCCTTTGCTTCTAGCTGTTTTACCCTATCTATCAACGACAGAAGAAGATGGGAAATTTTTCCGCACCATTTATGCAATTTCTTAGCAGGTTCGCCAGCTGCGTTCTCCAACTTCGGCCATTTTTTCTCTGCAAAAATTCAAGGTCCATAACGGAGCCGTAAGGCAAAAACTAAAATTTTTCCAATCTGATTTCCAAACGAAAATGTTTTATTCTAACAAAAACTAAAAGTATTTCTAAAAAAATTAAAATTTTTAGCTAATTAACTCAAAATAAAACTTTTAAAAACGATTGTATGTATGTATGTGTGTATGTATGTATGTATGTATGAATGTATGGATGTATGCATGTATGTATGTATGTATGTGCGTATGTAGGTATGTATATATGTATGTACTCTTACTTCTGAACTATATTTGGTTTCATATCATTTAATTTATTGAAATGCTATAGAATCCTAAATTCAAAACTTTAATTTTATGTACTCATTTTGAACTATATCTCTGTTTCATAAGATTAATAGAATAGAATCTGCAGTTCAATAACTTTTGATTTATTTCGATCTAGTTTAATCCTTGATTTTTGTCGAACTATTTTAATTTTTGATTTTTGTTGATCAATGTTGATTTTATTTGGATAGGGTGACTTTCTTACAAGCATTTGGTTGCTTTTTTAGTTTACCCCTCTTTTGAGAAAATAAACGAATTGAATTGAAATTGAAATTGAAAGAAATTAACCAAGACGTGCCAAGATAAGCAAGGCTGATGGTCCAGATTTGTATGTTATGAGATGTTCCATCCTCTTTCTAAAATATGTGTTCAGTAAACAAAACCCGAGACTTTCAGCAAACTCAAGGATGCGGTTGCCAACTTCATTCCGTTCTCCATAGCCAAAAACGTCATGTACGTTGTCAAAACCATCTGTTTTCTCTCCAACGTGGCCATTGAGATCGCCTCCAATCAGGATTGTTTCAGATTTTGGTATTGTTGAGATTGTGTCAGAGAACGCAGCCCAGAAGTCATCTTTCATCTCTTCTGATTCACCTGTCTGTGGTGCGTATGCAGAAAAAATATTCATTGTTTGCTTTTCTAGGCGAAGCTTGATCCACATGAGACGTGAATTAATCCTTTTAATATCCAGTACTTCTTGGGCTACCGGTTTTCTGACAAAAATTCCAACACCATTTTTGGCCGTCTTTTGACCATTCCAGAATAGTTTATATTTTTTTTTTGAGCTGACATGAAAAACACCATTCGATTTCCATCGGGTCTCCTGAAGGCAGCAGATGTCAATCCTTCTACGCTCGAGCATTTCTGCGATTTCCATGCTCGAGCGTAAATATATATATATATATATATATATATATATATATATATATATATATATATATATATATATATATAGA